GTCAATATTGTTGTTCAGTCATGTTCCAGATTTAAGATATCGTGGCAGCTTGGCACTATTTTTCTTGCATTTAAAATAAATGTCTTTGCCTCTGACCTAAACTGAAAGTGGAACAGCTGGTGTACAAAGTACTGCCCCTCTAAGTGGGGCTGTCAAACTGTTAGTCAATTGGTTAAAAGCAGGACTAATCTATCAAACTTTCAGTATTTCTGAGCAGGCAGTGTTTTTATTATGTTAAACTGGGGTTGTCAACACTGGGTCAGAAAATCCCTGGAGATTTGGGGGGCAGATCTTGGGGAGGGTGGGGTTTGAGGAGGTGGGGAACTTCAGTGGGGTAAAATGCCAAATAGTCCACGCTCTAAAGTAGCCATATTCTCCAGGAGAAGTGATCTGTTTGGAGAGCAGTTATAATTCCAGGAGATAGCCAGGCCCCACCTGGAGTTAACAGCCTTATATTAAACAAAGGTAACAGTTCATTTGAACTAAATTACAAATTATACTTGCTTTTTTTAACATTTTCTGTGAAATGCCTTTAATTGCAATATAGCTTTCTCAGGATGTTTTTTACAGGGGTCATAGACTTGGCATAAGGTAAATTGAGATGCTAACATAGTGCATTAAGTTACTTGGGGATCAATGTTCAGGGCAAAAGAGTACTGATCTAGAACTCTTTGTGACAGAGAGGAAATGGGATTTCTTTTTCACTATTCCTCCTTTTGCTCACAAAAGGCACAAATCTATTACAGAGAAACACTGAAGTCCCATTTGTCTTATTGGAAGTGATTTAAACATGTGCTTGGTTCTCCCCATTGATATAAGTGATAAAAGAACTTGACACTAGCTGATCTGTGACATTGCATTTTTAATATATGTATTTTCAAGATTTAATTTTTTTGTTTGCTTTTTTGCAGTGTATAAAATTAGAGCACACCTTGCTGTTCTCATGCTTAGACTTGTCTGTAACTAAAACAGACTTCATCTAGTGAAACCATAATGTGAGATTAAATAAAACTGAGTGATTTTTCTTTGCTCTCTGTACAAAGTACTCAAGTTGTGAACTAGAAAAGAAATCTTTGGTCTCTTAAGATTCCGTGTAAATGAGCTAAAGTGAATGAGATCACAGAACCTGTTCAGTGTCAGAGGTCATCCTAGGAAAAGAGGATACTTCAGATCACATGCACAGTGTTTTCTAACTTCACTGTTGCGAAATCATTGCAAGATTACATAAGAGGCGCCAATGTTGGATCAGGCCAAAGGCCCATCCAGTCCAACACTCTGTCACACAGTGGCCAAAAATACCAGGTGCCACCAGGAGGTCCACCAGTGGGGCCAGGACATTAGAAGCCCTCCCACTGTTGGCCCCCCCAAGCACCAAGAAGACAGAGCATCACTTGCCCCAGAGCCCCTATCTATACCTTGTGCCTAATAGCCACTGATGGACCTCTGTTCCATATGCCTATCTAATTCCCTTTTGAAGCCGCCCATGCTTGTAGCCGCCACCACCTCCTGTGGCAGTGAATTTCATGTGTGAATCACTTTTTGGGTGAAGTACTTCCTTTTATCCGTTCTAACCCGACTGCTCAGCAATTTCATGGAGTGCCCACGAGTTCTTGTATTGTGAGAAAGGGAGAAAAGTACCTCTTTCTCTACCTGTTCTTTCCCATGCATAATCTTGTAAACCTCAATCATGTCACCCCTCAGTCGTCTTTTCTCCAAGCTAAAGAGCCCCAGGCGCTTTAACCTTTCTTCATAGGGAAAGTGTTCCAACCCTTTTATCATTCAAGTTGCCCTTTTCTGCACTTTTTCCATAGCTTTAATATCCTTTTTAAGGTGTGGTGACCAGAACTGCACACAGTATTCCAAATGAGTATTCCAAATGAGATTCTTCTGTCAGGTTGGGAGAAGTCTTGGGCCAAAGTGTGTTGAGCTCAAAGAAGGCACCATTAGCTTCTGCTATTTAGATGTGACAGCATAAGAGAATATATCTTCCAAATTCCTTTGAAGATTGGCCTGAATACTGTGGTATATAATGCAACAAAGTACAATGACCTTTTCAGAGTTCCCAAGAATATTTGTCTGTTTGTTCTCTTAATACTGCAGTTTGGATTTTAAAATACTGCTTAGTGCCAAAAATATGAATTCATTCTGATTATTGTTCAAATGATGAGTTAGGCTTACTGCCACTTCATAAGAGGGTTTTTTTTAAAGTAGGATTGTATAGAAATCAGTAAAACTCTGTTTTTGGTGGTAGATATTTGACTGTTCCAACAGCCAATGCTTTTTGAAAGAGATAATAAGAGTAAGTGGTTCTACTCACATTCTTCCAAGAAGCTGATGATGGCATATATGTTGTTCTATTTATGTAAAGTGAAGAGATAGTGGCTGAGCTGTGGTTATCCAGTAAACTTGGCTGTGTAGAGATTTGGATCCAGATCTTCTGAGCCAGATCTGCTATGCCACATATGTTCTAAAATTCAGAAAGACATCGTTTTCTTTGATAATGAGACTGCAACATGCTTTCCTAGGTTACTTGTTCTAATAATCACTAACTCCTTTCCTAGGCAAAAAACCCCCAGTAAGCTCAGAGATGCTATGTCTTTGAGTACAAATCTGTAGAATCCTTCCACAATACTAAGCTCCACAATCCTTGGCAAATATTGTTGGCACTTGACAAATACCTTACTGAGAAATCTAGGGTTTCTGAAGTAGAGTCTCATGACTAATTGGAGGATAAATACATGTGGAGTAATCATAAGAGGGATCTATGACATCCCAGTGTCAAAAAGTTATACTACAGTAATGCAAGGACAGCATGTAAGTCAAAAGAATGCTTCCATTCTGTGCATTAGGTATTATATGTATTTTATTATTAGCCACCTTTCTATCTTATAGAGACTCAAGACAGCTTACGATGTAAAAATACATAATACGATGTAAAAATACATAAAACAACTAGGTAAAGTCAATAATTTAAAACTGCATGTATGCAGAAGAAGTAATCAAATGCCATCATGAGTAAAACTGTCTTCAGCTGCCTCCTAAAGACTGAGATTGAGGGGGCCACGCACACTCTCTGGGGAGATTGCTCCCCTCTCTTCTGTACCCTCTCTCCTGTACCCACTAGACAAGCTGCTTTTGGTAGTGGGACAGTCAACATCTTAGTTCCTGGACAGGAATGTATGGGAGAAGATGCTCCTTCAGATACTTCAAAAACACCTTAAATTAGTCTTGGGAATGGATTGGAAGCCAGTGTAATTTCTGTAGTGATCCCACTATCTCCAACAAGCAGTGTAACTGCAGCATTCTGCACCAGCTGCAGCCTCCAAACACTCTTCAAGGGTGGCCCCTAGTAAGAGCACATTGCAGTAGTCCAGTCTATTTATTTATTTATCAAACTTTTACCCCACCCTCCCGCCAGGGTGGCTTACAAATAATTAATACCAATATACAATTAAAACCAGTTATCACACTAATACAATACCATACCATAAGACCATAAAACATTACAGTAAATACAACCTTTTGAGATTTGGTGGCCATTCGTTATAAAGTGCTAGTGCTTATGTGGCACGGCCAATGTGGCCAGTGCTATTAGAACGCTTGTCGGAACAGCTCGGTCTTCACCGCTCTACGGAATTGTTGAAGATCCCGCAGAGCTCGAATTTCAGTTGGGAGCTAGTTCCATAGCGTTGGTGCAACTAGGGAGAACGCCCTGGTTCTTGTTGCTGTTAACTTAGCATCCCTAGGTGTAGTCTAGATGTAACTAAGGCATGAATCACTGTGCTAGATCAGGCGTGAGTGGTAGACCAGCTGAAGCTAGGTGAAGTACTTCAAACCACAGCAGCCATCTGATTTTCTAAAGTGACCATTGTGCTGAGCAGCACTCCCAAGCTGCAAACCTCTCTTTTCAAGGGGAGTCTAACTCCAAGAAAGGAGAGATATGAAGTCCCTAGTCTGCCTTTCTACTAACCCAGAGCACCTCTGTCTTGTCAGGATTACGTTTCAGCTTCTTTACCTCATCTAGCCTATTAGCAACTCAAAGCAACAGATTAGAACATCAATAGCTTCTTTGAAATTAGGTGGAAAGGGTAGAGCTGGGTATCATCCAAATATGTGTGGCACTTCAGTCCAAATATCCTGATGACTTCTCCCAGTGGCTTTGTGTAGATATTAAATAGCATGGGGGATATGATTGAACCCTGTAGAGCCCCACAGGTCATGACACAGAGCAGGACTCCCCCAGCACTCCTCCAACAACTGTGATACAATGCCCTTTAAACCCAGTGCTGAGAGGCAGCCCAATAGGATACCATGGTTGATGATATCGAAAGCCACAGAAAGATCCAGCAGAACTAGCAGGCTCACTCCCCCTGTGTAGTTCCTGGTGGAGGTCATCAACCAAGGCAACCAAAGCCATCTCTGTTCCAAATCCTGACCTAAATTTAAATTGGAATGAGTCCAGAAAATCAGTCTCATCCAAGAGCCCCTGGAGCTGAGAAGCAGCCACCTTCTCCAAAAATGGAGGATTGGAGACTAGATGGAAGTTTACCAACATGGTAGAGGGCAGGGAGGGTTTCTTTCAGAACAGGTTTACTCACTGGTTATACTGATTAACTGTAACATAAGAGGATATCACAAATAATGTAGAATGTCTGTTTTATCAAAGCATTTGAATTACTAACCTCTTTGACAGGATATGGCTGAGTGTTAATCGGGGCCAATTAAGTTACTGAGCAGTTTTAACTCACTGAATGTTTTTTGGTCACTAGTGCATCCAAGTTTTACAGAAAATAAACTGCAAATTTATTTACTATTTATTGTTTCTATAGGTTCTAATACTTAAATTATTTTTATGTAAACTTTAAAACAGCCTTTGAACTAGGTTGGACCTAGTAACCTTCCCAAGAATATATCCACAGTGAACTTTTGAGTTAAGGTGGCACTGGTCTTCCATATTTGTGGCTTCTGTACCTTAATGGTAGATAAATCCTTAAATTCTGCAGGAAAGTCTTGAAAAACTGACTTTCTTGAGGGTATTCACTACTGTTGCTGACTTTCAACAGTAGAAGAGTTACAAGAAAGGGGACCCGCGATACTCGCGGGGGGGGGGAGAAGAGCTGTACGTAGAGCAGCAGGAGGAGGCAGCAGCAGCAGGTAAGCCCTCTCTCCCCCCCATCCCCGGACACCAGCAGCGCGGCCTGAGTGGCTTCCAGCTGCCGGGCCCAGCCAATCTCCCCCCCCGCTCCTTCATCCTCCACTGTTCTCCTTCCCTCCCCCCCTGCCTCAGCTCTGGGGTACGGCCTGAGAGGCTTCCAGCAGTCGGGCCCTGCCAATCTCCCCCCTGAGCAGCTTCCAGCTTCCGGCCCACTGCAGAGTTCCCAGAGCATTCCCTGCGCATGCGCAGGAAATTCTCTTTTATTTTTGGAGGGATTTAAATATCCCCCCTATATTTTTTCAACTTTTTAGATTTTTGTGCACCCCTGGGGACTGCCCCAAGTGTGCAGGAAAATCTCCCACCCACCCCCGTGCCCCCGATGTGCGGATTTAGATATCCGCACGCAGGGGACGCCTTCGCTATTAGATATATGTATTTGAACTATAAATCTCTTTGCCACTTAAGATGCTTGTTGAACTTTAAAACATAGCATATTTAGAATATACCTGTAAGAATGAAATATAAGTCAGAACCAAATGATTGAAGGAAAGTTATATATTAAATTTTAAAAAATTCTATTTCATATTCCATTTGTGTCTTAGGGCCATTCCAATGCATATGCACCAAGCTGCATCTCTAACATCTGCTTCCCAAGTCAAGGTCCCATTTAAAAAAGTAGAGTGCTGGTACAATGCAACAGTAAATCCTATTCCCATCAGGTAAAGTCTGAGGTGTCCTGAACTGGATAACCCAGGCTAGCCTGATCTTGTCAGATCTCAGAAGCTAAGCAGGGTCGGCCCCAGTTAGTATTTGGATAAGAGACCCCTAAGGAATACTAGGGGCATGACATGGAGGCAGGCAATGGCAAAACCACCTCTGGATGTCTCTTTTCTTGAAAACCATACAAGATCGCCATAAGTCAGCTGTGACTTGACGGCACTGTCCACACCAAAGTCTGAGGTCCACTGATAATTCAGTCTGACTCTCAGTAGGAATGTTGCTTTCCCCTAAAGGCAGATGTACTACAGCCAAGTCAAGAACGCAATAGAGACCAAAGCTGTTGGGTTGTTTATTTTAGTTTTTTTCAAATTTTGGTATGAGTGGGTCAGTGGAGAGTAAAGTGGCAGTTACTATATTGTGATCAGTGAATCTAAGAGTCTTCAGAAATAGATTTTCTTAAAACTCTTTAGCCGCAGATTGATCATATTGATTAAGAGATGGCCAATTTCTTAATCTATGGGGGATGGATGGGTTCCTTTTTCCAGAGATGAGTTTGTGCAGTCCACACGTAATCTGTGCCTGTAAGCCTGCTGTGTGTTCAGGAAGTAAGTGTTTGCTGTAGAAAGAGAAAGCGACTTCCCAACATGAGGGCGAGGCCACAAAGGGAACAATCTGGAAACAAAACCAGAAACTGGGGTAATAGTGGGAATGCAACAAATAAGGCAGCAAAACACAAGTGGAGGTAAGGAGCAATGCTCCCTCTAAGCTGTGGAGTCTTGTGAGCATAGGTGAAACAAACTGCAGTTTTTCTTTATCTGTTTTGGTGAAACAAATCCATAGGTGAAACAAACTGCAGTGTTCTCTTTTCTTTACCTGCTTTGGTTTAAGCTATTTAAATTAGTTCATACACTGTCTTCTAGTTTGGTCAAATTTATACCAAAGATACATTTAAAAATAATTTGACTTAAAACATAAGTAAATTTGCACTTCTGTTGCTGGAATTTCTGCTCAGAACAAAGAGATCCCTGAGTAGTTTAAAGTGCCTTAAAAGAACTAGCCTTAAAGGGAAAGTGAAGGTCGCTCTAGGATTCAGAGTAAGTACTGATCTCCTAGTCAGAATCAGATGAACTGGAAATCCTTCTCAGGCGTGTTGTCCTTTGTATGTTCTTCAAGATTATTCAAGTTAGCAGTCCTCAAAAGCGCAAAAAGGGATTAATAGTTAATAAAGGAAACTGAGGTGGCATCTTCTTGATCACCAGAAACTGAATCTGGTGAAGTATCTTTATTGAGTGTTGGTTCTTGGTGTTGGGTGCTAGGGACAGTTCCCAGAGGACTCAGAGGAAGCAAGTTTTATTTTCTGTAGCTTCAAAATTCCCAGAAATGCTACATTTCTAATAAGAGCTGAATAAATAATGAATGAACAGATTTTTAAAATGATATTTGACATCTTTAGTTTTAATTTTTTCTTCTTCTGCAATTCATGTAATGGGTCTCAAGAGTCATGGAGTGTTTAATTGCAGACTGGTACAGAAGCTTTACATAAAACTAGTTTTGGAATTGTTCAGTACTGTTACATTTTTACTTTCAGTTGATTAAGTGTAGTTAAGATATCACAGAAAAATAGACAGTGCCTACTGATGCTTAGATATCCCATCATTATGAAAGGATGTATAGTTAGCGGTACATTGTTATAACTAACAGGTGACCACTGTAATGTAAATTCCAAATGGCGTTTTTCTTGGTCTACTTTAAAAAAAAGACTTGCGGGTTTTATCCCTCCAAAGGTAAACACTTAATATTCTCCCACTGGAATCTAAAGACTGTAAAGGCCAGAATTCACCAGAAAAATACTTATTTGGCTTTCTTATCTATTATGAGTGGAGAGTTCAGCTTACATTCATTTTAACTTTTTTTGTTTGTTTCAGTGACTTTTTTGAACGAACCATTCTGTGTAACAGCCTTGTGTGGAGTTGTGCTGTTACAGGCAAGCCTGGACTCACGTATCAGGAAGCACTGGAATCAGAAAAGAAAGCCAGACAAAATCTTCAGAACTTTCCAGAGCCACTTATCATTCCAGTTCTGTACTTGGTTACTCTCACCCATCGCTCACGACTTCATGAAGTTTGTGATGACATCTTTGCTTATATCGAAGACCGTTATTTTGTTCGTGAAACTGTGGATGTACTTAGGAATAATGGTGAAAGGTTGGTTTTGTTGATATGTGTTTGTCTTGATAGATGTGCTTGAAAGGGTTAATTTGTGAGCAGTTATTTTGGTGTGGTTTCAGCTGCTGTTGATCCATCTCCTTGTTTCCGTACTTAATACGAATCTGACAGATTCACCAGTTCACTGACAAATACGCAGCATTATCCTAGTCAGTATAGTTCTTCGATTGTTTTACTTAGTCTATAGGAAAGATGGATTATAAAATCTACAGAAAAAGAATACCAAGTAACAGAATGTTTACTTCTGCCTTCCAGTATTTGCTTTAACCATGGTCTAGTATTATATTTGCTTTGACTCTAATTTTGGTTAATACTAACTTAATTCCTGTATAACAAGGATATAGGAATGTAATTCAAACTTGTTTCAAACTTGGGTGAAGAGCAGAAACCAAATTAGTGTAAACCAAGGTTACTTGTAGTGAGTCAATGTTTTTTTGTTTAAGCTGCTTTGAGTTGCCATGGTCAGTGGGAAAGGTGGTATATAATTTTTTTTATAAATCGGGCATTTGACGATGATATGTATTTGGAGGACTGTAGTGGATTAAATGTAAAGAACCACTGATTTACATTAAAGCTCCTGCCTCTTAATAGTCTAGCCCCCCATGACAACACTAAGTATTAAGCAAATGAAATAATCTAAAATATGAAATAAACTTGTCTAACTGTATCTATACATTTTAATCATAGCTAAAAGAAGTGTTTTGGAAAGCTGATAGCCCCATTCATTTCAGCTTGGCTGAACTGATTTTTAGTCATGTTTCATGCTGCTTTGTGAGAGTGTAGCTAATGTAGAACTGATTTCTTTTGCCTCTTGTAAATCTAATAATTAGAATACTTATCCACTGTAAGGCATTCCTCGGGAAATTGCAAAGGGTCATTGCGAAGTGAGGAAATGTGTAATAGGTCTAGAAATATATTTTTTACTTTTCTAATTATATTATTTGTTTAAGTAGAAATTTGTTGTTGTTCAGTCGCACAGTCGAGTCCGACTCTTCGCGACCCCATGGACCAGATCCCGCCAGGCCCTCCTGTCTTCCGCCATCCTCTGAAGTTTGCTCAATTTCATGTTCGTTGCATCTATGACACTGTTTAACCATCTCATCCTTTGCCATCCCCGTCTTCTTTGACCTTCAATCTTTCCCAGCATCAGGGTCTTCTCCAGTGAGTGCTCCCTTCTCATTTGGTGGCCATAGTATTTGAGCGTCAGTTTCATTATCTGGCCTTCCAGGGAACAGTCAGGGTTGATTTCTTTTAGCATTGACTGATTTGATCTTCTTGCAGTCCAGGGGACTCTCAAGAGTCTTCTCCAGCACCATAGTTCAAAAGAATCTATTCTTCGGTGCTTGGCCTTCCTTATAGTCCAACTCTTGCAGCCATACATGACTACTGGGAATACCATTGCTTTGACCATGCGGACATTTGTTGGCAGGGTGATGTCTCTACTTTGTATCATGCTGTTTAGGTTCGCCATCGCTTTCCTCCCAAGGAGCAGGCGTCTTTTAATTTCATGGCTGCTGTCACAGTCTGCGGTGATCTGGGATCCCAGGAACGTGAAGTCTGTCAGTACTTCCACGACTTCCCCTTCTATTTGCCAAGGAGTGATGGGGCCGGATGCCATGATCTTAGTTTTTTTGATGTTGAGCTTCAAGAGCACTTTTGCGCTCTCCTCTTTTACCCTGAGCAAGAGGCTCTTTAGGTCCTCTTCACTTCACAGGAATTCCTTCACAGGAATTACTGTCTTCTAATGTTATAGTCTTTAATACAAATCTTCATAGTGCATATTTTGGGTGAGAAAAACTTTTGTCTTGAAAAGACACTCACTCATCTTCATTCACTTCAAAAGAGAGAATATGTAACAAGTGTTTTTGTTGGTAAAATTTGGGGGTGGGGCCTGGGGTATGTATGTTTAAACACTTGGCTCCCCCCCCCCAGACTTTTACATCTCTAGCTAGCCTTGAGTGACACTAGCTTGTGTTGAGGCTCCATTGTAACATTGGTCATAGATACCCTAGTTCTGAGAGTATATGAAACAGTGTCCATTTTTGTCAAGTACAGAATCCAAGCCAATCTGTTGTTCACAATAAAGTATTTTGAAGTATAACAAACACTGAGTGACAGTTGTGCTAAGTTTTTCATCATCACATTATTGGAAACCACTCATTCTTTTATTTTGTTGATAGTTCATAACTTTTCCCTCTGAAATTGTGCTGCGAAGTTCATTCTGTTTCTCTATGACAGCAAGCTCTGCTTAGAATAACTGCTCAGCGGTCATTTGCATATGCAGCCTCTAACATTCTAAACAGTTTGCTGTTGCTGTTGGGAGTCACTGAATGTGTCCTGAGGTAAAATACATATCCCAATCTTCCCTTAAACTAGTCCTTCCCATTCTATTGTTTTCTTCTATTACTTTGCACTGTTCATTCAGGAAGGCCTCCTTATCTCTCCTTGCTGTTCTCTGGAAATCTGCGTTCAGTTGGGTAAATCTTTCCTTTTCGCCTTTGCCTTTTGCTTTCCTTCTTTCCTCTGCTATTTGTAAAGCCTCATCAAACTTTGCTTTCTTGCATTTCTTTTTCTTTCGGATGGTGGTGATTGCTGCCTCCTGTACAATGTCACGAACCTCTGTCCATAGTTCTTCAGGCACTCTATCTATCAAATCTAGACCCTTGAATCTATTCTTCACCTCTACTGTATATTCATCAGGGATGCGATCTAGGTCAAACCTGAATGGCCTAGTGGTTTCCCCAATTTTCTTCAGTTTAAGCCTGAATTTTGCAATGAGTAGCTCATGATCTGAACCACAGTCAGCTCCAGGTCTTGTTTTTACTGACTGGATAGAGCTTCTCCATCTTTGACTGCAAATTATATAGTCAATCTGATTTCGGTGTTGCCCATCTGGTGATGTCCATGTGTAGAGTCGCCTCTTAGGTTTTTGGAAAAGGGTGTTCACTATGACCAGTGTGTTCTCTTGACAAAACTCTGTTAACCTTTACCCTGCTTCATTTTGCTTTCCAAGGCCAAACTTGTCTGTTATTCCGGTTACCTTTTGACTTCCTACTTTAGCATTCCAGTCCCCTATGATGATGAGGACATCATTTTTTGGTGTTAGTTCTATGAAGTGTTGTAGGTCTTCATAGAACCGGTCCACTTCAGCCTCTTCTGCATCAGTGGTTGGGGCATAGACTTGGGTTACTGTGATGTTGTATGGTTTGCCTTGGAATCGGACCGAAATCATTCTGTCATTTTTGAGATTGCAAGTTGACATAAAAGGATTCCCAGTACTGCTGCCTCTAAGTATTGGAGTGGCAGCAGGGAATGAAGATAAGGTGGTCATAAGCAAAGCTGTTACGGGCATTATTGTCAATTCCTCCAGTCTATTGGAGGAATGCATCTATTCCAGTATAGTGACATGGAAAGCAGGTTCTGTTATAAAGCTGGAAAAGGCAGTCCTATACTTCTAGCTGTGATAGTAGATCTGTAAATGCAGCTTCTAAAGGAGTGGAATTTCTTGAACTGTACCACAAACTATTGTCTCCAAGCACATGTTTTGTGTGCGTGTGAGTGATATGCACATATACCAGATGGAGACTTAAATGTGTTGGTTGGTAAATCGGTCATTATCAAGATCAGATTAGATAAAAAGTAATATTATCCTTGTTTATTTAGGTCATCAACTATAGTATAGGAGGGGGAATTGCCAGTGTAGGTAGTTAAGCAGCATAAAACCTCTTCTATTTTTCCTTATTTCTTTTTATAAAAAATCACACTAAGTGTTTAAGTAGCAAACCATACCTTCTGTTCCAACTATTTACATAAATATCAATAAATAAAATGAATAGTTTATAACCAGAAATACTTGCTTAATTGCTTGATTGTGGTAATACAGCATTGTTAATAGGGTAAATTTTATTATTGCTTATTCTGTGTGTAGTAATATTCGGAATGCACTAAAGCCTTATGTGTGGAAACTCCTGTGTGCACTTGATCCAAAGGACTGGATGTCTTCAATATGGGGAAGATTTTTTGCACCTTGTACTAGAGCGTTATGCAAGAAAAGTGAAATTAAAGCCAAGTTCTTTCAGCTTGCAGAAGAGCTGCTTGCAAGAGCATGACAACTGCTGTAGGACCTAACTATTATAGCACAGCATAAACTCTTCAGCCTGCACTTGCTCAAGCATTTCAATACAGAGCTTGTGGGTGTTTGTTTAGATCCAACCTGTAATAATTATTATAGCACTACATGTATGTGTGAAATGACAGTAAGAAAATTAAGTTAAAATTGCATGCCGAGGTTAAGGTGTTAAGTCTGATTAGTAAATTGAAGTCGAAACACTCTTCTGCTTATTTATTTTTGGTATGTTAAAATACTGGATTGCAAAATATTTAAGTCACCTATTCCACTAACTAAATCTTTCTGCTTTCTAAAAGGACTGAATTTGCTTTATTTCAGGTTGCACTGTAAGATTCTGGAAGTTAAAGCGCCATTGCATCACAATGGAATGACTAATGGCCATGCCAGCAGTAGAGATGAAGACACTATTGTCATTAGTGATAGTGATGACTCAGATTTGGATACCAGTCCTGCACAAAATGGGTGAGGACTAATTTTGTACTTAAAAACTGTGGATATGTGTTTTAAAGCTAGTTATTTAGTTATTTAATGCTTGGTGCAAAACTTAATAATTTTGTCTAAATAATAAGAGAACTGCAACTTTCTCAAATCTGATAAATATTTCATATCATATGTCTATCTTTACATACCTGGAAGCATGTTAATACATATACCTGCATATGTTCCTGGTATGTTTGTGTACAAGTAAAGATACAGAGTTAAAACACTTTCCTCCCTTCTAGTTGTGCTCAGGGTGACCATTTGAATTTAAAGCGATTGAGACAGTGCTTTATACTTTCCAGAAATCATCCTGCCGCTTAATTTAATTTCACTTCTTCACTAAATAATCATCAGATATTTTTATTTTTGAGCAATAAAATAATTATTGTTTTTAGGAAGGGAAAAGCCATAATTGATTCATCTTTGTTCAAATACAAAGTGAAGCCTTTAAAGAAACAGCTGTATGAATCTGTTACAGTCAAAGCATCTCAGATATGGTGAGTATTACTGGTTATGGTCATACTGTATCTGTTTGCACATGAAAGTAAAAGTCATTTCTAGAGTTGAGCTGCTTCCTTCCCTAAAGATACCTAAATTCAGTTTGTCAAATATTGTCAGATGGACAACCATGTCCACAGCATATTATGCACAGTTCTTTGAATTGCTAAAATTAGTGATAATGGTTTGGGATCTTGTTTTTAACTTACATAATGTAAAGGAAGTGCATGCTATGTCATCTTTACATTTTTACAGGGGTATTCCAATGGAAAATAATTTCTACAGAAAGCTTTGATTTTGTTTGATTCTAACATTTAAATCACACTTAATTTTTTCCCTAATTAACTATTGGTGTTGGAACATAAAATTAACATGAAGCACTTTTAAAATTTTTGCATACTAAAGAGAAGTTAAACATGCTAAATCAGATCACACTCTTGTTAGGACACTGGAAACACTTTCCAATTCAGATTTTTCTAGAAAACCCAAATAATTGATTAGCCTGTTGTCTCCTTAGTAGAACAGCCTTTAAAACTAGCTTTAAAAATTGTTTATGGAATTTTATTTCTGCTTTACTTGAATTTCAGAACAATTTTACCTGTTGAACCTAATTTTCCAGGATAAAAACTGAAGAGAAAACTGTTCAGCCAATTGTTCACACTTCTGGAAATTTTACCTAACGTTAACTTTTAAACGAGTATAACTGTTTCACAGTGGTTATTACTAATTTGCTGCCACAGCTTAACTTCAGTAACACGGTGTAGATTCTTGTGCTGTGGTGGCAGCTGCTGCCAAAGCAGCATTTAAAAAAATCTGCACAGCCAATCAGGAGCTTTGCTGGGCAAAAGCCCTACCTGGTCCCACCCACTTCCTAAAAACTTTTGGTGGGTGCCAGAAAGTGTCAATGGGCACCATGTTTCCCATGGGCACCACATTGGATAGAGGGTTGGAACTTTGTTCTGTATCAGGGTAGACAGCCTTTTTGGTCCAAGTGCTGGGAAAAAATGCAGCATCTACCTATGAAGGTATTAGTGTGGTGACAAAGAAAATGCCAGGGGAGGGGATTACAAGGGTTGTATTTGGACATGTTTAGAGCAACCAAGCCGTAGTGGTTGTACCAATTTCTGAAGGGTTTGCCTGGGACTCAGCTGGTAGCTGTGTAGGTCTGGGAGGGTAATGACTGGCAGAAGCCATGCCTCTTCTTCCTGTGACACTGGCCCCTCTGTACTGGGCAGAAGTCTGACCCTGGGTGCTAAGCAAAATTGTAGGGTGTATGGCTGTCTGCACATGTGCTAGGAGTTGTCTGCCTCTGTTCTGTACTGTATGAGAACTTATAAGGAGCTTCTATTTTCTCTTGCACTAAAAGTATAGACTGGGCCAGCTTTGGAATGGATCACTTGATATCTGAATTTCCTTTTAGAATTGCTGAGTCGTTGCCTATTACTGTTAAATTTAAATTTATTTTAAAAACTAATAAATTGTTTGATATTTTAGTGCTAATATTGGTAATAAGATCTTTAATAATGAAGTTGAATTCCTTTTCTTTTTGGCCTGTACCGTAGCCGGAGGAAGCATCTTTTCTCTCGTGACAGACTTAAGCTTTTTTTGAAGCAACACTGTGAATCTCGTGATGGCCTTGTTAGAATTAAGGTAATCAAAGCTCTTAAGTGAGATGAAATGTGAATAGATAAATGAACATATCTATTTAATGAATTAATCTGAAACAGGCTATATACCGTTCAGTGTTTTGACCTTGCAACTTACACCTGGCAGAACTGGTCACCATATCTCAAAAAAGGACATTGAAAGAGCTGGAGAAAGTACAGAGGAGGGCAACCAAGTTGATTAGGGGGCGGAGCACCTTCCCTAGGAGGAAAGGCTGAAGAGTCTGAGACTTCTTAGTTTAGAAAAGAGATGACTAAGGGGGGGGGGGACATGATAGAGGTTTATAAAATTATGCATTGGATGGAGAGAGTTGACAGCATTTTTTCTCCCTCTCCCAAAATACTAGAACTTGAGGGCATCCAGTGAAACTGATGGGCAGTAGGTTCAGGATGGACAAAAGGAAATACTGCTTTACATAGAGAGTGATTAAAATGTGGAATTCACTGCCAAAGGATGTAATAATGGCCACAGGAATAAACAGCTTTAAAAGGGGATTAGATAGATTCATGGAGGATAAGTCTATCAATGGTTACTAGCCATGATGACTGAGGAAAACCTCCACACTCAGAGGCACTAATCCTTTGCATCCCAGAGCCAGGAGGCAACATCAGGGGAAGGCCTCAGCCTCTGTGCCCTGTTGTTGGCCATCCAGAGGAGCTGGTTGGTACTTGTGTGAGGCAGGATGCTGGACTAGATGGACCGTTGGTCTGATCCAGCAGTGTTCTTCTTATGTTGTTATGTTCTTAACTGCAGCCAAATCCAGCTATTAAGTAAGTTCCACTGAGTTCAGTGGGACTTGCTTTCCTAAGCTGAACAGGTGTCTACTTTCCTAGAAGTGAGCACAGGATTGTAGCATTAGTTTATTTAATTGAGTCTGTAGATTTGTGTAAGATTTACAACTTCAAGATGCTGTTGCCATTGTCCATATGGAATTTATGTGGCGCTGAAAGAAGAGGCAGCAAAGGCATATTTTTTACCCCCTTTTCCCAATGTGTGGTTGTTAGTCCATGAGAGCACCATCATAGCCCCAGGATTCTACTTTCTGGGGGTAAGAAAGGACTGCAGAAGCAGAGGAAAATGTAACAAATAAGCCCATTCTGTTGTTGGTATTTAGGATCTAGCCCCTTACTTTAAAAAGAAAAGAAAAAGTTCTATCTTATGCGGGTTCAGTTATTTGTCCCAAATCGTACACTGTTTGTGTATAGTGCTATTATGTGTAATAAAAATTGGAATTAGATTGGAGGCTTCATTGGTGGTATAATTTTTTCTATTGTAACATCGCATTTGTGACTTTTTAGAAAATAAGAGTCCAGTCCTTGAGCAGTCTGTCTCAATGAAGCTTACTCACCATGTTTAGTACAGAATCTCAGATACCTCATTCTTGTGCAATGGACTAGGATATCTTGGTAATAGGAGTAGTTGCTGCTTTGGCCTTATAAAACAGTTGCTTATTAGCCCGTGTATACATGTAAGACCTTCACAACAAATTATTTTTTCACCTTTCTCTTCTAAGGCAATATCAGTTGCAAAGTTCAAGATAGCAGAACAAAATTTTTCCTACTTCTTTCCTGATGATCCACCCACTTTTACCTTCAGTCCTTCAAGCAGGCGACGAAGGAGGCCTCCAAAGATGGTAACTGAGCATCAGGTAAGTAATGCAGTTCTTCCTACTTGAGCTGAACTTTGCAGCTCCTCCAAACTGAGCCCTTCATCAAATGGGACTGTGTGATGTTTGGATCATTGTGTGCAGAGATTAGGGTCCATCCTCAGAACTAAACCATCTTGGCTGGCTTGGGTGCCTGATGCTTCTGTTTTGGGATCACTGTTAATTATCATGAAGATCAAAGGGATAATGTTGAGAAACTCTTCACGCATTTCTCTCTGGATGGGACAGAGATTGTACACACAACACAACCTCCATCTCCCAACACCATACTTCTGCTATCTGTGCATTGCCAGATTATGTTCCCTTGACGAAGCCACTGAAACCACCCATTAAATGATGACATACTTCCCACCAAACCACAAAACAGTAAACATAAAACCCTTGCATCCCTCCCACTCTCTCAACACCCTAATAAAACTCCAAGTGCACTGGATCTTGCCTTGGGCAGATTACAGACACAGAGAAACACCCCTCAAAAACCAGAGCTCCAAACTGCAGAGGCATGCCAGAGGGGACAGACGGAAAAAACAGCCCTACAGTGTAGGGCCATTTTTTATCAAACTCAAAGCCATTTCCTTGCTACTCCTGAGCCATTCTCTAGGCCTTTCTCAAGCACAGCCCTTTCAGAAATATGCCCACATTTCTTGGCTTTCCTGAAAGCACAAGGTCAGCACAGGGTCAGCCTGTCTCTCTGAAAGAAGAGTGTCGTATTGTATTGTATCTTATTGTGCTGAGCAAGAGATAGCTAGAAGAATGGCTTCTCTGGCCTGAGGGTCATTTACTTGGTACAGTAGAGTAGGACCCTCCAGAGGCCCAGCTCCTGGAAAGGAGTTGATCTCTCGCCTCTTGGAGAGACACAAGGTTTGCTATAGTGCTTTGTCTATCCTTTTGTTGCTCAATAAACTGTGTTTCAACTGTGATCTTGCCTATGTGTACTGGGGCTGAAGGGTCAGTGGAAATCTCTTCAATAGTGCACAGTCCTGCCCTCTCTTGGGAGTGAGGACTGGCCCTACACCACAACAGAGGCTGCTGTGTGGTTTGGCTTAGGTGAGTTCCCCTAGGGCTGCACTGCAGGTTACCCCTGCTGGGTGGGTCAGCTCCAGGAAAGTACTCAGACCTAGAATTCCACCTAATAGAGGAATGATAGCCTCAAAGCTTGGTTGATTAAAAATAAAATCTGAAATTATTGGACTAAAATATATAAAATATTAAAAGAGATTACAGGACTAGACATACCATTTTTACCGGAGATAGCCCTACTAAATATGCTCCCGAATAATTATAGTAGCGAGAACAAATACTTAATAAGTTACACTTTTACTGCAGCAAGAATCTTACTAGCAAAATATTGGAAAGGAGAGAAAATTCCCTCTAAGGAAGAATTGTTAGATAAAATGTTGTCATTAGCAGAGATGGACAAATTAAAAGTACTTTTGCAAGGAAAGGAATATGAGATATTTGAGAAAAGATGGGAGAAGTTTTATGTCTGGTTAGAGAAGATAGAAAGTGACTCGCAATGATGAATGTATTGTATTTGAAATGTTGATATGTGTGATAAAAACAATAAATAGTTAAAAAAAAAAATAATAAGATCCAGACTGTATATGAGATGGTTTGGGAGAAACGTATTGACCTTCCATATGTAATATGGCTGGCAATTACTAATAATATCATTTTGTTACAGTTAGCTCTGACTGTTCATTTAGCTTGCCAACGGATGACATGGCTAAGATGGCAGATGTAGTCTTGATCCTGGAGTTAAGGATTCAGCAGTTTATTATTCTGGGGTCCTCAACAACTGTGCCAAGACAGCCTTGTGTCTGTGACCTCTTCTGACTTGGATGCCACATTAGATTAAATCTGGTTTCTATACCAGTGGTATCAGAAATACCATCATTTAATTCTGTTAGCTTGATTGTTATGTGAGGCAGGCATTTGGAGGGGGTAGCACTTTGTTGGTGACACTCATTTTTGTATGATTGGATGCAGAGATGAGGGTGTGACATGAGGTGCCCTAGAGTTCCATTCTTTCCGTTATGTGTTCAGTGTTTACATACAGCTGTTGGCGAGATCATCCACAGCTTTGGAGTTGGGTGTCATTAACATGCTGATGAAACCCACCTCTGTATTTCATTGTCTGCGCCATCTGAAGCAGCTTTCGTCATCAGTACTTTGATGCTGTTTCAATTGGCTATAGTGGGAGAAAGATGAAATGGAATTTAGACAGATATAATTATGCTGGTTGGAAGAGCTGATGTCTTGGAGGGAGTTGCGTTACCAACTTTAATGATGGTTAGTCCAGTCACTGAAAGTGCTTTAGCTGTCTGTACTTAGCACATAGATTGGGAAGCCTCTTGTACTCATTTAATCTATTTGCATGATCATAGATCGACATAACTCAAGCCCAGAGTATTATAAGCTGTACTATGTGGGGCATCCCTTAATGACAACTCAGTATTTTGTATTGACATTTTTGACACTGGGTTATTGTTTGACATAAATAGTTTTACTTACACCCCACCTATTCTTAACAGTTGGCTTCCTATATAATTCTGGATTCAATTTGAATTGCTGGTTTTGACCTAGAAATCCTTCATGAACTGAGACCTACATATGTGAAACTGTGCCTCTCCTAATATTTATCTATGTGCAGTCGACATTTCTTCCAACAACTTTTGCTGACTATATTCTCAATTATAGAGGTATATTCAGCAACAGTCATATCTAAATCTTTATCTGTCAGTGTTCCAACTTCTGGCAATGGGTTTCTGTTGGAAGTTCATGCTGCCCTGTCACTGTTCATCTTCAGAAGGAGCTGTAAAACTGCTCTATTCAGAAGAGCTTTTTTGGACTTATGAATGATCTGTGTGTTTTGGTGTATGAGATTTTTTTCCCTTGAGTTAACGACTTCTCTATTGTAGTGTTTTTATTTTATATAGTGACTTGAGTCTTATACAGTATGGCTGTTTTATGAACATTCAAATAAAAAAATACAATGTCTTTAATTTACAAAGTTGTGAAAGGATATTTGGGCTTTCAATTATTTGCCCAGTTGTAATCTTGTGTGCCTCTACCCACTCCTATCACCCATCAAGGTGGACAGAGCTGTAGATGAACCATTTAGTCCTAGTAACGTGAGCAGTGCAGCAAAAGAGAGAGCAAGACTCCAAAAAGAAAAAGAGGAAATGAGGATCACAGGTAAGGTTGACTGAGGATGACACACGAGTATTTGTAGATGTAAAATCATGTATTTTGTTGACTTCTGCTGAGGCAACAGACGAGTACCAAAGACACTTTTAGGGCATTATCTTCAAATGGAGAAACTGGTATGGCCCACTTAACCATTTTTACTTGGAAATTAAGTCTCCAGTTACATTAAGTTTTGCTTCCAATTAATTATGATTAGAACAGTAGCCACTCTGTGTGTGTATATTTGAGGCTGTTTCCTTAGCTTTAACAGTATTGGTCAAAGGTGGCCTACTTACTCTTGTTTCTTTCCTTGCTTAATTTATATTAACAGGTTGCAAATATAAAGATACTTTAAGAATTCTAGCAATGTAAAATTATATTATTTTGTGTGTATGTGTGTATAAAAAACAAATCCCTGGCATCATGCATAACTAGAAACATTTGTTGGTGTTTAGGGATTTGAAATAGTTTCTAGCCTTGCTTTGCTTACAATGAACTGGTGCTGACTTTTGGGTCTTATATCTGCTTACATTTATGTCTGTTATGAATATGATCAGAATACTTTTACTTAATGTGTCTATCAACATCTATACTGTCTACTCTGACTGGCATTAGCTCTCCAGCGGAAGTCTTTCACACCACCAAGTACCCAATCCTTTTAACTTAAGATGCCAGGGATTGAACCTAGGATGTTTTGCAGGCAAAGCAGATAGGCACAGTCCCTCCCCTGAATTAGGGGGAATCATAATGATGCATTAGTCAGCCAGGCCAGTACAGATACTCTTTGTGTGCCTTCCCTGTTAAGCTCAAGGCATCTTTGTGCACATATATTCTAGTTGAATTCTAAGCTGTTTCCAGCAGTGAAGTCAGCCAGAACAGGTGTCTAGTGTACATTAGAGTGCGCCTGTAGCTTAGAGTATACCCAAAGTATTGTAGATAAGTTACAGAGGCTGATTGTCCACTACTACTACTTGTGACAGGATTACTGTTTTTACCCTCCTCAGTTTTCCTTGTCTGGTATTTTTACAATATAGTCCTTGTGGCATCCATTCTCTCATGCAGGCTCAAAAGCACAAACCTATTTAACCCAGGGCTGCATTCTGAAGGTTCTGCTTGTGGCACATTCCATTAAGTACACAAGAAGCTGTAGTCTCCAGCAATGGTCCCTCTAACCTGTGGAGTCCTGTGAGCAATAATTCTACTTTGTGAGCTACTGGCCTTAAAGTTGTGAGCGAGCCATTTGGCTGCTGCATGAATCAGTTTGCTATGGAGCCTTCCTGAGCTGAGACAAAAATGTGTGAGCCGGAGGCTAAAAAACTGTGAGCTGGTTCACACTAACTCAGCTTAGAGGGAACACTGATCTCCAGAATGCAGCTGAGTGTTGAACAATCTGAGTGTACCAAGCTGCTTTTAAATGTAAAAGGCCAGTAATTTTCCTAAAGGCTAAAACAGAAAATTGGGACTTTGCTGGCTACCTGTAGTTAATTCTTGTTTCTCCCCCTACCCCAGCAACCAGGTGCATAAGGTGAGAAGTAAAACTTTATAATTTTTGCTGGTTTGATTTGAAGCATTTTTGAAATTGTTTACACCGTATAAAACTGAAATTTACCCATTTGACGTTATTTGATAACTTGATCTAAATGTACAGTTTCTCTGTGTAAGGTAACCTCTTTTAAAATAAAAATAATTTTGCTTCTCCTGTATACTTTTTGAAAAAGAAAAAATAAAAAGAGAGAAAGCAAATGTAGTAGAGTCCAAGAAGAGAGAAAGAGAAGATAAGGAAAAAAGGAGGGAAGAATTAAAGAAGATTGTGGAAGAAGAAAGGCTAAAGAAGAAAGAAGAGAGAGAGCGACTAAAAATAGAAAAAGAAAAGGTCAGGAACTCCCTGTTGTAGTCTTTAATAGTTGTGAATTTGAAATGGTAATCAGAACCGCATTCTGCAACTGCATTTAGAGATTTCCAGCTCCTAGGAACTGAATCTGAGCGGCAACAATGCTTGCTTTCAGATTGGTCATGTGATAGTGTATGAAGTTTCTGAAGACTGCTAGTTCTGCTGGCCAACAGACCACTGTTAGCCTTGCTGATGAGTGCTCACAATTTAAAGTATTATCTTGTTGTCCAAAACCACCCAGCTAGTGCAAATTAAAATTCTAAAATGTAGTGTGGCACTCAATGAAATTGCTGAGCGGTCGGGTTAGAACAGATAAAAGGAAGTACTTCTTCACTCAAAGAGTGATACAAACATGGAATTCTCTGCCACAGGAGGTGGTGGTGGCTACAAGCATGGACAGCTTCAAGAGGGAATTGGATAAACATATGAAGCAGAAGTCCATCAGTGGCTATTATTAGCCACAAGGTATAGATAGGAACTCTCAGTCTGGGGCAAATGATGCACTGTATTCTTGGGGGGGGGGGGGGAGGCAGCAGTGGAAGGGCTTCTAGTGTCCTGGCCCCACTGATGGACCTCCCTGATGGCACCTAGTATTTTTGGCCATTGTGTGACAGAGTGTTGGACTAGATGGGCCATTGGCCTGATCCAACATTAGTTTCTCTTATGTTCTTATGTAAGCCATAGGTTTAAATTTTCGAGCAAATGGCATAATACATATTGTTATGAAGTCTTGATATGAACACACGTGAAGAAGCCTTATACTGAATTAGATCTGTGGTCCATCAAGGTCAGTATTGTCTACTCAGACAAGCAGCAACTCTCCAAGGGTCTTAGGTGGAGGTCTTTCACATCACCTGCCACCTGATCCTTTTAGCCAGAGATGCTAGGGATTGAACCAGGAACCTTCTGTGTGCTGAGTAGATGCTCTGCCACCGAGTTATGGCTCCTTCCCCATGAGTGATGCTGTGATTAATACTGTTAAAACTATTGTATTACTTTTGTGTACAAGTCATTCTGTAATTAGAATAGAAATAGTTTCTAAGTATTGATAGCTTTTTCAGATACAAGAAGTAGAAGGTATAGTTTAACCTCTTAGATGGTAATTTTCAATTTAATTACAGGAAAGAGAGAAGCTGCGTGAGGAAAAAAGGAAATACCTGGAACATCTAAAACAGTGGAGTAAGCGTAGAGAAGACATGGAATGTGATGATCTTAAGGTAACATAGACTTCAAGAAAGGTAGCTTGTGGTTTGTATGAGCCCATATTTGATGTGTATGTCTGATTACTTCAAGTTCCTGCCACATCACTATGCTTGCATGCATCTAGTATGTTAGAAAATAATGCAGGAGATCATATAGGTATCCTGCATGCTCAGGAATACATCCCACCTATTTGAAACCTATGTAGGGATATATCTGTTTTCCAGGTCCTTCTTCTATGCCTTCAGATCTGTTCTGAAGTTAAAGTTCTAAATGCACCAAATGGTGATCATGTTCATTTCTGTCTTAGGGCAATTATAATGTGGTCTGTTTCAGAAGGTTCTACATACATGGTACAGTTACAAACTTAAACAGTTTTGGGGGGGTGCAACAGTGGGAGGGCTTCTAGTGTGCTGGGCCCACTGATGGACCTCCTGATGGCACCTGGTATTTTTGGCCACTGTGTGACAGAGTGTTGGACTGGATGGGCCAATGGCCTGATCCAACATTGGCGTCTCTTATGTTCTTATGTTCTCTTAGGAGTCTAGTCAATATTCTGTAGATTGAAATTTACCCAATGGAAAGTGTCCAATATAACCAAGTAACTTTTAAAAAATGAAAGGAATAATCAGAATGGTCAAATCACTTCTGGATGCTTGGAAGCGACTTAAATAAGAACATAAGAGAAGCCAATGTTGGATCAGGCCAATGGCCCATCTAGTCCAACACTCTGTCACACAGTGGCCAAAAATACCAGGTGCCATCAGGAGGTCCATCAGTGGGGCGAGGACCCCCCCCCAAGCACCAAGAATACACTGCATCACCTTGCCCAGACTGAGAGTCCCTATCCATACCTTATGGCTAATAGCCACTGATGGACCTCTGCTCCATATGCTTATCTAATTCTCTCTTAAAGCCGTCCATGCTTGTAGCCGCCGCCACCTCCTGTGGCAGTGAATTCCATGTGTTAATCACTCTTTGGGTGAAGAAGTACTTCCTTTTATCTGTTTGGTGTAGTGGTTAAGTGTGTGGACTCTAATCTGGGAGAACCGGGTTTGATTCCCCACTCTTCCACTTGCACCTGGCTGGATGACCTTGGGCAAGCCACAGTTCTGTCAAAGCTGTTCTTGAAAAAGAGCAGTTTCTGTCAAAGCTCTCTCAGCCCCACCTACCTCACAGGGTGTCTGTTGTGGGGAAGGATAGGAAAAGGAGTTTGTAAGCCGCTCTGAGACACCTTTGGGTAGTGAAGGGCGGGGTATAAATCCAATCTCCTCCTCTTCTTCTTCTAACCCAACTGCTCAGCAATTTCATGGAGTGCCCACGAGTTCTTTTATTGTGAGAAAGAGAGAAAAGTACTTCTTTCTCGACCTGCTCTGTTCCATGCATAATCTTATAAACCTCGATCATGTCACCCTTCAGGTGTCGTTTCTCCAAGCTAAAGAGCCCCATGTGTTTTAACCTTTCTTCATAGGAAAGTGTTCCAACCCTTTGATCATTCTAGTTGCCCTTTTCTGCACTTTTTCCAATACTATAATATCCTTTTTAAGGTGTGGTGACCAGAACTGCACACAGTATTCCAACAGTCTCTTCCAGTTCAGACCCCATCAACGTGTATTTATAGTTAAGATTTTTTGCTCCAATGTGCATCACTTTGCACTTAGCTACATTGAACCCCATTTGCCACTTGCCCACCCTCGACAGATCCCTGGCCTTTGGAGTGCCTCACAATCCTTCCTGGTTGTCACCACCAGTGTTCCCTCTAAGCTGAGTTAGTGTGAGCTAGTTCACAGTTTTTTAGCCTCCAGCTTACACATTTTGGTCTTAGCTCAGGAAGGATTCTCCAGAGCAAACTAATTGATGCAGTAGCCAAATCACTCACTCACAACTTTAATGCCAGTAGCTCACAAAGTAGAATTTTTGCTCACAGGACTCCACAGCTTAGAGGGAACATTGGTCACCACCCTGAACAACTTTGTGTCATCTGCAAATTTACCCACTTCACTGCTTACTCTCAACTCCAAATCAATAATAAACAAGTTAAAAAGCATCGGACCGAGTACTGACCCCACTGCTTTCCGCCCTCCACTGAGAAAATTGTCCATTTATACTCACTCTCTGTTTCCTATTAATCAGCCAGTTTTTGATCCACAAGAGGACTTCTCCTTTTATCCCGTGACTATTGAGCTTACTCCGGAGCCTTTGATGAGGAACTTTATCAAAAGCTTTCTGGAAGTCAAATCTACAATAATTGAATATCAGATATAATGTATACCTCAAATTAGGAGAGCTACCTTGAAATCTTAGAGGACAGTAGCAAGGCTAATTGTCAAAGTCAAGGCAGTCATAAAGGCAAGAAGTTAAAAAGTTAGAGGTCTTGTCCAAATGCGGAAATGAGAGCTCAGGCACCGGAAAAACAAATGAAAGTTAACAGTAAGGCAAGCAAAATAAAAATAAAAATTGAGCATGTTGCTAAAACTGTAAAGTTGCAGATCTATGCTGGGTGTTATAGCTGAAACATACAATAAATATTCAGTTTTTTCACTTACATTGCAGGAACTTCCAGTTCCAACCCCAGTGAAAACCAGACTACCTCCTGAGATCTTTGGAGATGCACTCATGGTTTTGGAGTTCCTTCATGCCTTTGGAGAACTGTTTGATCTTCAAGATGAGTTTCCTGATGGGGTGACTTTAGGCACGTTTCTTAATCTCTTTGTTCTCGGTTAATGGACTTCTTACATGCTTGTTGCTTTTTTGTATTTGTTTCCTAAAATATCAGTTGTCTTGTGAATCATCTTGTTGTCTTATTTTGTGTGTGATTTCCTGAACAAGGAATTGCATGATAAAGTCTCAGTGTAAACCTGGCTGTATGAGGAGACTACTCACTCCCATGGCTGCAAGAAGTGCCTTTCTTACAATCACTCTGATCTTGAAATCTATGTAGTCAGATGCATGAACAGGGCTTCCATGCTTTCAGACATTCTGTTCATTTTGTTGGAGGGCATTGGCAAAATTAATATGCTGTCCTACAGGGCAGTGCACAGTTAATGTTGAATACATATTGGCCACAAACATGGAAGCACTTCCAGTAGAGGAGCACCTTGGCTTGATAAATAAATTGGGAGTTAGATGAGAGGGGATCAGCTTTCATTAAATGGTCATAGCAGTTTCACTAAGTGCATTTTGTCTTAATCATTCTTTACAGAGGTATTAGAGGAAGCTCTTGTAGGAAATGACAGTGAAGGCCCACTATGTGAATTACTGTTTTTCTTCCTGACGGCCATTTTTCAAGCAATGACTGAAGAAGAAGAAGAAGTGGCCAAAGACCAAATAGCTGATGCTGAAACCAAAGGTCAGATTTCAATTATGCTGCTCAAAAAAGAACTTTCACACTAACTTGCTTGCATGGCAATCTTTCTTCTATTAACTTTGCTTTAGTGTGCTCAAGTGCTGCTTAAAAAGGAGGGCATTTTAGGTGCAAGCTGCAGTGGTATCCTGAGTTCTTTAAAAGGCAAACATTCTGACTATTACATACACATCAAGACTTTCAGAACGGTGTTATCTTCACAAAGTGTCAAATGCCTTTGCTTTTCATTTAAAAACTACTTCAGTTCTACAGGATCCAAAAGGTATATGCACTTCATCTCCAGACAGGTGACGTCTTAATTCGACTAATTCTTCAGTGGCAAGCACATATCCCTGGGCCCAGCATTACTACTAGCACACTTCATAGACTAATTTAATTATGCCAAAGGGCACACTACAGAAACTGGAACAGTACATTTTAATTGGTTTTATTTTTGGAAGCATAAAGTCTTATGTGTTTATAAAACCAGTTAGCATCATGATGTGCACACCTGACTTGTAAAAAAAGGATGACTGCTGTATTTTCATCTTAGTCCCAGTGCTGGTTTCTTGTGCTATGGGCCCAGTGACTTGTTGGATTCATTGTGGCTGTGAAAATCTGTCCTACAAGATAGGCTGCACACTGTCCCTTAAGGTCAGAGTTGCTCATAAGGTTGTAGAGGCCGGCCTTCAGGGAAATGTTACAAATTCCTGGCGTTCAGACTAAGGTGCTAAGGGCTGGAAGAGTGCATAAGTAGCTTTTGGCTTGAAGCAGTTAATTTCATGTTTGTTTGTAATGTGAGATCGATGAACAGCCATTTTGAAATGCATTCCATCTAGACCCCAGGATATGTAATTCTTAACAGATGAAAAGTAATGCTGCCAGGGAATAGTGCTGATCACAGCAGTTGCTAAATTCTTTCCAAAGCGTATGTGTGTATTGTTTTTTTATTTGTCATCTACCTGTAGAAAACGTTCATAGTATAAAATTTGGTACTAGCTACTTACTATTTGTTCTCACCACATTCCTCTGATATAAAACTCTTTATGCTAAGAAACTGCACAATCATAGGAAAAATTAAATTCTTCCTTTTGCTTCCTCCATAAGCTGTTCTATTTGGAGAAGCAAGGGACATGCTATTTTACCTATTCATGAGATAGTACTTCAGGAGGTGGGGCAACTAGCACAAAAATTGCTTTGGTTCTATGGATAAGCACTTCCCTCTGTTTCTTTGCAATTATGAGAGCTACAGAGTTGGTGAGGTCTTGTTTTTATCTGGACATGCTGTATATTTTCCCTGACATTATTGAATGGAATTTTGAAGCAGACTTCATTGTGGAACTCATAAAATTTAGATCATAAGAACACAAGAGAAGCCAATGTTGGATCAGGCCAATGGCCCATCTATTCCAACACTCTGTCACACAGTGGCCAAAAATACCAGGTGCCATCGGGAGGTCCAGTAGTGGGGCCAGAACACTAGAAGCCCTCCCACTGTTGCCCCCCCCCCTAAGCACCAAGAATACAGTGCATCATTTGCCCCAGACTGAGAGTTCCTATCTATACCTTATGGCTAATAGCCACTGATGGACTTCTGCTCCATATGCTTATCTAATTCCCTCTTGAAGCTGTCCATGCTTGTAGCCACCACCACCTCCTGTGGCAGTGAATTCCATGTGTTAATCACTCTTTGGGTGATGTACTTCCTTTTATCTGTTCTAACCCGACCGCTCAGCAATTTCATTGAGTGCCCACGAGTTCTTGTATTGTAAGAAAGGGAGAAAAGTACTTCTTTCTCTACCTGCTCTATCCCATGCATAATCTTATAAAACTCGTTCATGTCACCCCTCAGCCGTCATTTCTCCAAGCTAAAGAGCCCCAAGCGCTTTAACCTTTCTTCTTAGGGAAAGCGTTCCAACCCTTTGATCATTCTAGTTTCCCTTTTCTGCACTTTTTCCAGTGCTATAATATCCTTTTTATGTGTGGTGACCAGAACTGTACACAGTACTCCAAATGATGTTGCACCATTGATTTATACAGGGGCATTATGATACTGGCTGATTTATTTTCAATTCCCTTCCTAATAATCCCCAGCATAGTGTTGGCCTTTTTTATTGCAGTTGCACACTGTCTCGACATTTTCAGTGAGTTACTTACTACGACTCCAAGATCTCTCTCTTGGTCAGTCTCTGCCAGTTCAGACCCCATCAATGTGTATATTTAGGATGTTTTGCTCCAATGTGCATCATTTTACACTTGGCCACATTGAACCACGCTGACGTGCACTCACCCATCTTCAACAGATCCCTTTGGAGTGCCTCACAATCCTCCCTGGTTCTCATCACCCTGAACAACTTCGTGTCATCTGCAAATTTAGCCACTTCACTGCTTACTCCCAACCCCAAATCATTAATAAACAAGTTAAAAAGCATTGGACCGAGTACTGATCCCTGTGGTACCCCACTGCTTACCAGCCTCCACTGAGAAAATTTCCCATTTATATTCACTCTCTGTTTCCTATTAATTAGCCAGGTTTTGATCCACAAGAGGACTTGTCCTTTTATCCCATGACTATTGAGCTTACTTAGAAGCCTTTGATGAGGAACTTTATCAAAAGCTTTCTGGACGTCAAGGTAAACAACAACTATTGGGTCCCCCTTGTCCACATGTTTGTTCATTCCCTCAAAAAAAAAAACTAACAGGTTAGTGAGAGAAGATCTTCCCTTACAGAACCCATGCTGAGTCTGCTTCAATAGTTTTTGTTCATCAATGTGCCTGCTAATTATTTCCTTAATAACAGTTTCCACCAACTTACCCGGTGTTGACGTCAGACGGACTGGCCTGTAATTTCCCGGATCTCCTCTGGAACCCTTTTTAAAGATGGGAGTTACATTAGCTACCTTCCAGTCCTCAGGAATGGAGGCAGATTTTAATGAAAGATTACATATTTTTGTAAGGAGATCTACAAGTTCACATTTGAGTTCTTTCAGAACTCCCGGATGTATGCCACCCAGGCCTGGTGATTTATCAGTTTTTAAGTTGTCTATCAGTCGTAGGACCTCCTCTCTCATCACCTCAATCTGACTCAGGTCTTTCAACACCCCTCCCAAAATCAGTGGTTCTGGAGTGGGCAAGCACTTCTCATTTTCCACAGTGAAGACAGATGCAAAAAAATGCATTCCGCTTCTCAGCCATGTCCCTAACATCCTTCAGTACTCCTTTTACCGCTTGGTCATCCAAGGGCCCCACTGCCTCCCTGGCTGGTTTCCTGCTTCTAATGTATTTGAAGAAAGTTTTATTGTTGGTCTTCATGTTTTTTGCAATATGCTCCTCATATTCCCTTTTTGCCTGCCTGATCACAGACTTGTATTTTATTTGCCACAGCCTGTGTTCCCTTTTATCAACCTCACTGTGACTAGCTTTCCACTCCTTAAAGGAATCCTTCTTAACTTTTACAGCTTCCATTACATTGTTTGTTAAACATGCAGGCTTTTTTCTATACCTATTTGTGTCTTTCCTAACCTGCGGTATATATTTTTTTCTGAGCTTCTAGGATTGTAGTTTTAAATAATCTCCAAGTTTCCCCAATGGTTTTGACCCTTTCTACTTTTCCTTTCAGTTTCCTCCTCACATGTCCCCTCCCCTCATATAAGATAATTTACCCCTTGTTAAAGTTAAAAGTCGTTGTGTCAGTCTTTTTGGGCAACTCCCTATTTATACAAATGTTAAACTCAATAACATTATGGTCACTGTTCCCAAGCGGTGCAATGACTTTAACATCTCTCACCAGGTCTTGGGTGTTACTTAGGACCAAATCCAGGATCGCCTCTCCCCTGGTTGTTTCTGTGACCATCTGTTCCATAACACAACCATTGAGAGTGTCTAAAAGAAGAAAGAGTTTGGATTTTTACCCCACCCTTCAAAACCCGAAGGAGTCTCAGAGCGGCTTACAAACTCTTTTCCCTTCCCCTTCCCACAACAGACACCCTGTGAGGTAGGTGGGGCTGAGAGAACTCTGACAGACACTGCTCTTTTTCAAGAACAGCTGTGCCAGAATTATGGCTTGCCCAAGATCATCCAGTCAGGTGCAAGTGGAGGAGTGGGAAATCAAACCCGGTTCTCCCATATTAGAGTCTGCACACTTAACCACTACACCAAACTGGCTCAAAAGAAACTCAATCTTTTTCCCGACTTGAACACATTTTGACCCAATCAATGTGTGGGTAGTTAAAATCACCTATTACGACACAGTTATTTCATCTAGTCACTATCGTTAATTCATTCATCATTTATAATCCTCTATCTTTTGATCTGTTGGGCGATAACAAACTTCCAGTGTTAAGCTTCCTTTTGAGCCCACTATTTCAATCCATAGCATTTCCAGAAGTGAATCCAATTCTCTTACTCTCTCAATCTTACTGGACTGTATAGCCTCTCTGACATACAGAGCCACCCCACCTCCAACCCTGGCCCCCCATCCTTCCGATATAATTTATAATCAGGAATCACCGTATCCCACTGATTTCCTCATCCCACCAAGTTACTGAAATACGCACAATGTCTATTTCCCCCCCAACACCAAGCATTCCAATTCCCTGATTTTACCTCAGACACTTCTAGCATTTGTGTATAAACACCTATCGTTTCCCATGCATGTTAAGCCCACAACCTTCCTCTTGCTGCCTCAAGACTTTGCCAGGCAGTCCATATCCCTCAGGGATCACTGCCTTGATGTGGCAAGGGGGATTGCGTGGTTCGATGAGGCTGTGGGCTATGCCACGGAGGGCCACCCAGGATGGACAGGCCACAGCAAAGAACTCAGACCAAGTGTGATCCACTGGAGAAGGAAATGGCAACCCACTCCAGTATCTTTGCCAAGAAAACCCCATGGACAGTAACAAAAGGTTACAAGATATGATGCTGGAAGATGAGCCCCTCAGGTCGGAAGGTGTCCAATATGCTACTGGGGAAGAGCAGAGGGCAAGTACAAATAACTCCAGAAAGAG